GAGATAGAGTATAAGCTTAAAGTGCTCCTCGATTTATTTTGTTCTTTCTGTTGTTGAAAATAAGGTAATCTTAAATGTGCAAGTTATGTCATTGCATCGAAAAGTTTCAGCATTGTTATTTTTTTTCCGTCCTATCCGACCGTGCAATGAATCGCTGAATGAATTAATGTAAACTCCTCTTGTGACAGTTGTTTGTCATTCCTGTAAGCTTATGTAAGCTTGAATCCCTGCCTTAAATTTATTCAGTGTCAGGACGCTTATACGGAGGTACGTTAGTTGTAGTTTTGTTTGTTCAATCAATAACCTCTTCGTGATTGCATCAGCTTCTATGACCATACCACACGTCACTTGTCACGCAGCGATGAAATTTAATTTCACTTGAACGAGATAAGCTTGAAAAGAGCTCCACGATGTATTTTCGTTCTTTCTGGGGTGGTAAATAAGGTAATCTTAAATATGCAAGTTATGTAATTTCATCGAAAAGTATAACCATTGTCATTTTTTATCCTATCCGACCGTGCAATGAATNTTCAAATTTAAGCTTGCTTTTTGCCGAGGTTAGCTTACTGTAAATATGTATCGGATGCAAGGCGTTGTGGCTTTTGCGAAATTACTTTTTTCAAAAAAGCTTACCGTGGAACGTCAGTTGCAGCTTTGTTTTTTAATCAATAACCTCTTCGTGATTGCGTCAGGACTTGTTGTCACGCAGCGTTGAAATGTAATTTTACTTGAATGAGATAGAGTATAAGCTTAAAGTGCTCCTCGATTTATTTTGTTCTTTCTGTTGTTGAAAATAAGGTAATCTTAAATGTGCAAGTTATGTCATTGCATCGAAAAGTTTCAGCATTGTTATTTTTTTTCCGTCCTATCCGACCGTGCAATGAATCGCTGAATGAATTAATGTAAACTCCTCTTGTGACAGTTGTTTGTCATTCCTGTAAGCTTATGTAAGCTTGAATCCCTGCCTTAAATTTATTCAGTGTCAGGACGCTTATACGGAGGTACGTTAGTTGTAGTTTTGTTTGTTCAATCAATAACCTCTTCGTGATTGCATCAGCTTCTATGACCATACCACACGTCACTTGTCACGCAGCGATGAAATTTAATTTCACTTGAACGAGATAAGCTTGAAAAGAGCTCCACGATGTATTTTCGTTCTTTCTGGGGTGGTAAATAAGGTAATCTTAAATATGCAAGTTATGTAATTTCATCGAAAAGTATAACCATTGTCATTTTTTATCCTATCCGACCGTGCAATGAATCACTGAATGAATGTAAACTCCTCTTTATGACTGTCGTTTGTCATTCCTGTAAGCTAATGTAAGCTAAAATCCCGGGCTTAAATTTATTCAGTGTTAGATGATCTTAAATTAACGGCCTGTGAAAGTGTTGTTATGTTTTCTTTAAAGTCTATGGGATGTCACTGTTTCTTCTTTGTATGCTTTTGATGCAGATTGTTCGGGTTCACTTCTATTTATTTTATTTAGGGTGTTTAACAAAATCTGAAAGACCTTAGCTATTCCTTTAAGGCTTTCCTATTTTGTAGATTCCTATCTTCGAGTGTGTTAGAATAATATTATGTAAATAAAGAGGTCATTAAGCCAGTGCTCGAAATGATTTTTGAACAGTGCAGATCATATTGACACGCCAAACAAATTTTAACTCGGACCGGTTAAAAACTAGCGTGTAAGAAACCGCATTTCCCTTGCTTGAAGAGATTCTTGCAAAAATATTTATTTGGAAAAAAATTTGGGTATTTCTCTAAAATATAAGTGTATGGAATTTTCTTTTATAGATTGAAGAAAATATGAACTGGCTCAAATATATGTAGGATAAACAGGTCTTGTATAGAGGGGGCTTAACTGGCAAATTTAGCTAGGTTCTTAGTCGCTAGTTTGTATTGTGTTGAAAATGTTGTACTTTGCAAAAATAGCCAAATTAAGACAAAAATATCCCCAATAAATGGTCAAAAACACCTTTTATTATTCCACTGTTATGTCATTTTACTATAGAGGGTCAAGAGAACGTGCAAAATATGAGGCCGGACACTGTAGGGTCCTGGTTTAACCAGTTTACAACGCGGCAAATACCAATGGATGCAAAAGGAGCATTCGCAAAGACAGAATGAGGATTTTTAGCTGGTGAAGCCAAAATTTGTAACAAAATTGAAAACGGAATTATAGTTGTAATATTATTGTGTTTTTGAGTGAAACTTATCATAAACACGTAGAATGTTGACTTTGATGTTCTAATATTAGTAAAAATGACAGCCCCTACCAAACCAAACACTATTTTAACATATTTTTGATATATTTTTAAAACTGTTTTAATTGTATTTAAGAACTTCATTTAAAACAGGTACCAAATGCTATTTCTAATGGTGTTTTAATTTGTTGTTAAAGGTGTTTTAACCTGTTTTTAAAGGTGTTTTAACCTGCTTTTAATGGTGTTTTAACCTGTTTTTTAAGGTGTTTTGACCTGTTTTTAATGGTGTTTTAACCTGTTTTTATAGGTGTTTTAACCTGCTTTAAATGGTGTTTTAACCTGTTTTAAATGGTGTTAGAACCTGTTTTGAATGGTGTTTTAACCTGCCTTTAAATGTTGTGTAACCCTGTTTTTAATAATAATAATAATATTTAATACTTATATTGCGCTTTTTCTATAAAAATACTCAAAAGCGTATTACAATATTATTAATAACAAAATTAAAAACCAGTAAAATTACCCGGTAAAATTACAACATTAAAAAATAAATAAATAAATAAATAATCTAACTAAAAGCCTTCTTAAATAGATGTTTTAACAGAGCGTTTAAAAGAGTCGATTGATGTTTTCTGTCTTATTGACAGAGGAAGACTGTTCCATAAAAAGGGGGCAGCCATCGACAACGCGCGATCTCCCAAAGTCTTCTTCGTTCTTAGCCGAGGCCTTTCTAACAATATACCATTATTGTTACGGCGTAGTTGGTAACGTGAGTCCGGTAAGACAGAGACAAGATCCTTAAGATAGCTAGGCGCAACACCGTGAAGAATCTTAAATGTAACAAGGAGAATCTTAAAATCTACGCGCAAGCGCACTGGTAGCCAGTGGAGTTCTCTTAGCAAAGGAGTAACATGACAATACT